TAGGAATGGGCTTCATCTATTTTAATGATCGGAGGCGGGAATCAAAACAAGAATAATATTTTATAACGTGTGAAAATGATATGAAATTCAAATTTTAGTGCCCATAAAGAAGTTTTATTGGGCACAGCCACACTCATTTATTATGCATCAGCTGTGGCTGTTTCCACGGGAAAAGAAATCAGAGAATATTGCTACGGTCTTGAACTGAGGATGCTTTTCTAATCAAGATGCAAAAGTCAGAGGCCATAAAGAGCTTGACAAGTTTGATCTCATAAAACGCCAAACCTTCTAAACAAAGTTGACATCATAAAACACTTGAGAGACTTCGGGAGGGAGGTTCAGGGAAGAGTGAGCCCCGACACGCAACAATGCCGCCTCCAGCCACGAGTCCTGTGCTCTTGGCCAACATTTCTCCTCTCTCATTTTGGTCAATAAAAAGACTGGGAGAAAGGTATATCACAGATAACAGAATGTCGCTTGTGGAGGGTGAGACTGTCCTCACAACGCTGCTTCCCCCGAGGGGCCGGTGAGGGCACTGTGCACATACTCCTGGCAACCTCCAGGAGTGCCCAAATGAGCATCGAATTGATGGGAGGCAGCAAAATAGTGTCCATTCCATCAACACATAGACTTTGCATGTCAAGCACCAAAATAGATTAAGTTGCTTCCTGATTCAACTTGTCTTGGTCTACCTAGTCCCATATCTGTTTAACTACCCAGAGCCCCAAATCCTCTTTGCTGAAGAGGGACCACCTTCTTCAGCAAACTGGGAGACCCATCACCCCAGCACCGAGACAACCTGTTGGCTCCTAAATCTGTGGGTGTTTTTCTTTTCACGGGCTTCTGAGAATCCAGTGAAGGCTGTAAGAAAGTCCTTTGCGAGGAAAGTAGGCAAACTCACAAGTGTGTGGAGTTCTATGAAATTTCAGACAGATAAAACCATCTCTAGAAAACACAAAAATGGGAACGGGGCTCAGGTGGCAGAGTGCTTGCCCACCTGGATCCTTGGATTTGAGCACCAGTACTGAGTGAGTAAGCCTGGGCTTGTTGGCCTGTGTTTGTAATCTCAGTAGGAGATTGGAGGAGGTGGAGGCAAGGGGATCGAAGTTCAAGGTCATCCTTGGCTACATAGAAAGTTTGAAGCTAGCCTGGATTATAGGAGACACAAATATTTAAATAGGTAGAGATTTGCTAGCGTGAAAAGCTTTGGAACCGCAGCAGGAGTAATGACGGAGCAGAGACAACAGAGGAGCAGGGAGAATCGATTGGCACACTGTGCAGCTAATAAAGGGTTAACATCCAAAATACAGAGAGGAGCCAGAGCGTAAACACAACTTTAAAGTGGCTAAAAGCTGTTTCAAAAAAAAGAAAAGAAAAGAAAAGAGAGAGAGAGAGAGAGAGAGAGAAAGGAAGAAAGGAAGAAAGAAAGAGAGAGAGAAAGAGAAAGAAAAGAAAGAAAGAAAGAAAGAAAGAAAGAAAGAAAGAAAGAAAGAAAGAAAGAAAGAAAGAAAGAAAGAAAGAAAGCGTTTAAGAGAACTGGCTGCTCTCGAAGAGGACCTGGGTTCGAGTCCCTGCACTCACTTGGTTGTAACTCCAGTTCCAGGGACTCTGGTGTCCCCTTCTGGCCTTCACAGCCACCAGACACATGTATCACACACAGACATGCAAGCAAAACACCCGTACACATAAAATAAAATTAAAAAAAGAAAAAGTTTGAAGGCGGCAAACAAGTGATGGGCAGACCGGGAAACAGAAATGGAGACCACAGGAGATATCACCTTACACTTGCTAGAACAGCTCTTAGTGACAGACGGAAGTGGTGAGGGCGTAGCAAAAGGGAACTCGTTCCCCAATGGTGGGAATGTCATTGAGCATAGCCATTTGGAAAGCACTATGGAGGCTCCTCAGAAAACTAAAAACTAGGGGCTGGAGAGATGGCTCAGTGGTTAAGAGCACTGACTGCTTTTCCAGAGGACCTGGGTTCAATTCCCAGCACCCACATGACGGCGCACAACTGTCTGTAACTCTAATTCCAGGGGATCTGACACCCTCACATAGACATACATGCAGGCAAAAACAATAACACACGTAAAAATAAAAAAATTAAAGAAAAATTTTTTAAATTTAAAAAAGGAAAAGAAAACTAAAAACTAAGAACAGAACTGCTACACAGGCCAGCAACCCCACTTCTGGTATATATCCAACAGAATTGAAGAGAGCATGTGAAAAGAAGTCTTTTATGGGAGTAGATAAAGAAAACATGTGTACACAGTGGAGTGCTACTCCACCTTAAAGAGGAAACCCTATCATTCTGGAACTGGAAATCATTGCACCAGGTGGAATAAATCAGAAAAGCGCATACTCTATGATCTCAAATAAGAAAGGAAATAAGAAAGAAAAGTCAATTTCTTGGAAACAGGGTACAGAAAGCCTGAGAGGAGGGGTGATTGAGAAAAAGGAGATCTTGGTCTAGGGGCTCACAGAAGGAGTAAGTTTTAGTAATCTACTGTACAGAGATGATCACTGCTAATGACAATGTGTTGCATATTTCTATTATGATTTGAACCTAAAATGTTCCATGGGAACTGGGGAGATGCCTCAGTGGGTAAGGATGCTTGGTGTGCAGCATCAGGACCTGAGGGCAAATCTGTAGCATCTATGCAAAAAGCTGGGCACGACTGCTCATGCACCTGTAACCCCAAGGCTGTAAGAATTCAGAGACAGGATGGCTGTGACTTCCTGACTGCCAGCCTAGCTCCACATTCAGTGAGAGAACTGTCTCCAGGAACAAGGTGAAGCATGATCATTCGAAACACGGATGTCCTCCTCTGGCCTCCATGCATATATATGAGTATGTACACACACACACACACACACACACACACACACACACACACACACACACACACACTGCTCCCCACGGGTTCAGGTTTTGAGTGTCAGTTTTCTGGCTGATAATAGTGTCTGGGGAAGATGAGAGAGGGTCTGTGTGTCAGAAGTAGCTGTCCAGGATCAGGCCTTAGATACACCCAACCTGGCTATCTCTGATTCCCAACATTGCCTGGTGAATCAGCCTCCACTTCAAGCTCCCTCCACCCATACATAGTTCCTCCTCAGCCTTGCCTTCCTCCTTGATAAGCAGAGATCTCTGGAATCCTGAGGAGAAACATAAGCCCTTCTTCCCTTGGTTATTTTCAGCAAGCGTCTCCACACAGCTGTAGGCAAAGCAACACACCCTGAGCACCACAGAAAGAACAGACTTTTAACAGTCTCACGACAAATAGAAGGGAAGTTGGTAAGAGCCAGTGGATGTGATAATCAGCTGTTAAACCTTTCCACAATGGATCAAAGCATCAGGTTTTCTCCATAGATATCCACTATTATTTTTGTTGATTTAAAAAATTTTTTTAAAGATTGATGTTTAAGCATCCTTTCTGGGGGAGGTGGGCTGAGAGGGGACTTCAGGGGTCTCACTCTGTAGCCAGGCTGGCCTGGAACTCGAGCCTGTCCTGTCTCAGCCTCCCCAGTAGCCGAGATTGGATGGGGAGTCGGCTGGCCCTCGCCAGTCAGAGGCTGTCCAACCAAAATCGGCTGAAGTCTCTGGATGCCATTTTGCTAGAGAAGGAAGAACAGGGTTGGGTTCACAATTTGACAAGAGGCCCTGGCGTTGGATGTTTGCTAAACCTTGGGTATTATTGACAACCATCTGTGTTGATTCAAATGGCAGGTATTAACCCTTTGCTGCCTCTTCAGGGGAAACTAGGCGGCTTACTGCGGTGACCTGGCCTCTGCATTTATGCACCCAACTTTGGGTAAATATGAGGCTGAGGGGCCCAGGATTTGACTCCATGACGTTTTCATGCTGCGCTGAAGCACCGTTTTTTGCAGGTGCCTCAGTGACATTAAGCCTACTGAGAACAATGGTTTGGTTTAACCATTATCTCCTGGTTGGCCGCTCTTAGTAAGCAAGGACGCCATTTTTTCTCTCTCCAAAGATGAGGGCCAGAGGTGTAGGCCATGCAGCATGTACGTCCCAGCTATTCTGAGTGTCTCTGGCAAGCTAGTGCTGTCCGCTGAGAAAGTGTTTCCCAAGCCTGTTTCCCCCATAGGCTAAATAGACTTGGCATTTCCACCTGTGAGCCTCCTGCGGGGCATTTGCATAAACTAAATTCAGAGGCGTGTGCTGCGTGCTCGTGAAGAGCATTTCAAGGCCCAGGTGCAGCTCGGTGGTGGACCACACACTTGGCAAGTAGCCCTGAGTTAAAATTCCCAGCACCACATTACCAACAAGGCTTTTCACCTGCTGTGGGAGCGGCCAGACCCAGGCAGGGGCTCGGCTCCGACCTCTTTAGGAGAGCGAAGGCAAGCCGCCCAAGGTAGGCATGGGTGCCCAACCCAGTCCCCAGATCTGCCTCTGGTGTCTAGCTCTGGGATCCCTGGTGGGCAGCAGTGATGCCTGAGGCTACCGAGTGGGCCAGGGCTGGGACCCCTCCCTCAGGAGTGTCTAGGCAAATCGCTGCCAGTCAGAGGTCTGCGGCGGAAAGAGTCCTTTCGGGCTTCTAGGACTCGGAGGAGTTGTTTGACCGCAGGCAAAAATCTCCAAAATGGAACACCAGGTTCAATTTCCTTCCCTAAGAGCATCTCGGAGACCTCGAGGTCCCTCTCACCATGCCCTCCTGTTCCACACTGCTCTAACTACCTTCTCTTAAGGCCCAGCCTCCCAGCAAACTCATAAAGGGCCTCTGCGAAGACTCCCAGGAGGCTGAGTGGGGCTTGAGTTTCAGATCAATCATAATCGATCGGGAGATCGAGATCCCAAATGTCACCCCAGGCTCCTCGCAGGAATTTGTTGTCTGCCTGGATTTCCGATGTCACTACACCTGATTCGCTCAGTCTGGCAACCTGGCCTACCCGGTGTAGGACAGATGTGACCTGCTGCGCTGCCGGTGACCCAACCCCCGTCCCCCATCCCCCCCAGAGTAGGCACCCGGGGTACTCACCGTATCGGCACCGGTACTGACAGACTCCGTTCTTCCCTCCCAGCAGCTCCATGAAGGAATCCACGTAGCTGTTGACCGACTCGAAGCTGCCCCGCAGGTGCCGAAGGCCCCAGTCCGAGTAAGACTCCTCTCCCTTGGGGCTGGGGTCGCTCTGAGCCAGGCTGCCCGCCAGGCCAAGCCACAGGAGGAAGAAGCCGCAGGGCAGCTTCATCCTGCCCGCCAGTAGGACGCTGCGCTCGTCCCCCACCCCAGCCAGGGTCCCAGGAAGCCTGGGGACACACACAGCCCCGTGCCTGGGCTTATCGGAACAGTCAGCCTGTGTTCCCCAGAGGTGGACTTTAAACACAGCCATGGAGGCCGGGAGCAGATCCCAGCGATTAGAGAGGGCAAAGGTAAGACCGTGGGAGGGCCTGGATGAGGATGGCCCATGAGGGGACTTCCCGGTGGACCCCGAAGAGCTGGAGGGCATGATTTCACTCTGGGAATGGGGGAAGGGAGCCCCGGGATCCTCCTGCATACTTGCGCTCCCCAGGCTTCTTGACTACAGAGCTTGTCCCAAGATCCCAGCCACACCCCTAAGCCACTTCCTCCTCCACACCTGTCCCGGGGAGGCTCAGGAGGGTGTGTGCAAGGCTCAGGCAGCCTGACTTGGGGTCACCTTCACCAACAGACAGGTGTCTCAATGAGAGTTCAGGTTTTGAGCCCAGTTTCTGCCTGGGTCCCTCCTTGTCTCTAACTGAAATCCTTCCATCTGGTCAAGGTCCTGATATCCTCCCAGGGAATCCGCAGGCTACTCAGCGCTGTATCCTAAGATCCCCAGGCCTGCACGGTGGCCCCAGGTCTGTTCTGGGAACACTCAGCTCTCTGGTGGTGGTGTTTTTCCTTTGAGGCAGATAAAAAAAGTCCAGGCTATTATCAGAAAGCCTGTTGGAGATTCCAAGCTTGGAGACTGCTCACTGAAGTCCAGTGTTTGGGCATCACTCTGAGTGCTTTGCTCTTGGCCACGTGAGGAAATACCTATAAAATCACTCGTCTGGAAAACGACACCGTTGTGTACCAAGTAATCATTCGGCTGCTTTCTCAGACATCATGAAAGCTCTGTAGGAAATGTTAAACATATAACATCCTCAGTTTAGATAAAAGAATGTGTTCATCTAAAGACTTGATGTCCAGGAAGGGTAGTGGTTAAAATGGATCTCCAGTGTGCATTATTACTGTGTGAATTTTAAAAGAAGACGGTAATAATGCCACCCAGTATTTAAAGCACTTACACATTCTGAACTGGACAGTCTCTTGTCTGTCTCTATCCCTTTCCTGTCTCTCTATGGCTTTCTTCCTGTTTCTCCGTGTCTCCATCTCTCTCTCTCTCTTCCTTCCCCTCCCTCCCTCCACACATTCATACCTGTTCTAGGCAAGGTTCTTATCATTTCTATTTGAGGCATAACAAATCACGCACAGGTTAAATGACTTCATCACGTTGGGCGCGTGTCCAGTCAAGGCTGGATGAGGGCCAGTGATATAACTGATGAGATCATATCAAAACAAAACCGTGGAACTCCTTTTTTCCAAAAGTAAGGAAAACTGGGGGCATAGCTCAGTGGTGGGCCACATGCCTAGAGTGTACAGTGCCCTGAGTTCAATCTCCAGCTAACCAAAAAAGGAAAAGTGTCATTAAAAAATACGATAAATACAAAAGTTTTGGAAAACTTTTTAATAATTTTATTATTTTTAGTTACGTGTATTTGTGTGTGTGCGTGTGAGTACTGAAGCTGTGGAGGCCGGAGGATGTCCTGGAGCTGGAGGCTGAGTCACGTGACACAGGTGTCCGGAACTGAACTCAGGACTCTGGAAAAGCAGTGTGGGCTATTGGCTGCTAAACCTTGACTTTTTTTTCCCTTAAAAAAAGTCTGCTTGTTTGTAATTGCCATAATAATAGTGACACATGAGGAACATGTATACAATACATAATATTTTAATAATATATGCTATGCTGATCATGAGAACTTTAATGAAAATTCATTCACACCACCAAGACTTACCACTGCTTCAGTTCCGATATAAATGAAATTACAACTTCTCTGAACAGACACAAGGAATACTTATAATTTTTAGTTGCAAGAAGGATTTTTTTTTCTTTTTTTCTTTTTTTTTTTTGCTTATGCAATTGTTAGTGGCACTGTTGACAGTATTTTTTCCCTCTTTTTTTTTAAACCTAAATTTTGGGGGGCAGATACTTATTATTTTAAATATTTTTGAGGGAATAGTGCATGATGTTAAGGATATTAGTATTGTTATGTGACCAGCACCAGGACCATTTCCAAAGCTTTTTTCATTCTTGACGTCCAGTTTCCCAGCATCGTTTGTGGAAAAGGCGGTCTTTTCTCCAGTCTAGCTTTTGTAGATTTGTCAAAAATCAGGTGACTGCAGTCATGTAGACTTATATCTATGTCCTCCATTGATCTGGGCATCTGTGCTGGTACTGTGCTGATCTTATTGTGTTAGATCTGTGGCATGACTTGGATGATAATGATACCTTCACAGTGTTCATTTTCATCAGGATGGCATAGTCTATCCAGGGCCTTTTGTGATTCCACATGATTTTAAGGTTTTTTTTTTTTTCTACGTCATAAATGGCCCTGAAATTTTTATTGGGATTGCACCACATTTGTAGAATGCTTTTGGTAGGATGGCAGTTTTCACAATGTTAAGTTTTCTGATCTATGAGGATGGGAGGTCTTTCCATCTTCTGGTGTCTTCTGCATTTTCTTAAACTTTTCACTGTAGAAGTCTTTCATTTCCTTGGTTAGGCGTGTGTGTGTGTGTGTGTGTGTGTGTGTGTGTGTGTGTACATGTACATGCACATTTATCATGAAAGAGATTGTTCCCCTGGTTTCTTTTTCCATTGTTACTTTTATATATGAAAGCTACTGATTTTGCATTTTGTATTCTGCCACTTTGCTGAAAATGTTTCTCAGCTTCAAGAATTTTCTGGTTGAGTCTTTAGAGTCTCTTAAGTATGGACATCTATCGTCTGCAAATAGGAATACTTTGACTTCTTTATCTTAGTATCTCCTTTATTACTTCTCTTGTCCTACTGGTCTGGCTAAGACTTCAGGCACTATGCTGAACAGAAGTGGAGAGAATGAACACTCTTGTCTTGTTCATGGTCTAGTGGGGATACTTGTAGTTTTTCTTCAGTTAGCATGATGTTAGCTATAGGCTTTTCATATATAGTCTTTATTATATTGAGATATGCTCCCTCCATTCCTAGTCCCTCCAATGACTTTTTTTTATAATTTTTTTTTAAATTTTTATTTACTTTTATTTTATGTGCATTGGTGTTTTGCCTGCAGGTCAGATCTTTGAGTTACAGTTGTTAGCTGCCATGTGGGTGCTGGGATTTGAACCCAGGTCCTTTGGGAGAGCAGTCAGTGCCCTTAACCACTGAGCCATCTTTCCAGCTCCCTTCCATGATTTTTATTGTGAAATGATACTGGATTTTGTCAAAGGTCCTTTCTTTCTTTATTGAAATGATCAAGTGATTTTTGCCTTTGAGTCCATTTATGTGACAAGTTGTGCTTATGACTTCTGTGTGTTGAAACATCCCTGCACTTTTATGGAATGAAGCCAACTTGATCATGATGAATGATACTTTTGATGTGGTCTTGAATTTGATGTGCCATCATTTTATTTAGAATTTTTGCATCTATGTTCATCAGGGAGATCAATCTGTAATTTTCTTATTTTGTTGTATCTTTATCTGGCTTTGGTATCAAGGTAACACTGGGTTAAAAAAGTCATTTTGAAGCTTTTCTTCCTTTTTTGTTTTACAAAATGACTTGAGTAGCATTGGTGTTCTTTTTGGAAGTCTATTACAATTCTCCAGTAAAGCTAACTGACCTGGTTTTATTTTGTTTACCCCATCTATGGTGAATGAGAGCTTTGCTGGGTATAATAGTCAGGGTTGGCATCCGTGGTCTCTTAGTGTCTGCATAACATTTGTCCAGGACCTTCTGGCTTTCATAGTCTCTATTGAGAAGTCTGGTGTTATTCTGATGGGTCTGCCTTTAGATGTTACTTCTGACCTGGTTTTAATTTGGGAAAAAAATTATTACTGCTTCAATCTCATCCCTGGTTATGTATGTAGTTTGATTTTATTTCATATTGATTTAATTTTTGATAAGTCATATGTGTCTAGAAATTAACCCATTTATTTCAGATTTTTCCAGCTTAGTGGATAAGATTTTATGGTATGTCCTTATGGTTTTCTGAATGTCATTGGTATCTGTTGTAATGTCTCCCTTTCCATCTTTAATTTTGTTAGTTTGGGTTTTCTCATTTTCCCTTCTAAGTTGTCTAAGGGTTGGTATCTCTTATTATTTCAAAGACCCAAATCTTGGCTTCATTGATTTTCTATATTTTTATTTTTGTTTCTATTTCCTTAACTTTGGCCCACATCTTGATTATTTCTCTCATTCTACTGGTGTGGGTTTAATTTGTTCTTGTTTTTCCAGGGGTTTAAGGTACATCATTAAGATATCAATTTGAGATTTTTTTTTTATATTTATATAGTCACTTATCGATATAAATATTTCTCTTAGGATTTCCTTCTTTTGTGTCCCATTGAACTTGACATGTTGCATTTTTATTTTTATCCCATTCTGGGGAGTTTTGAAATCTCCTTCATTTCTACAGTGACCCATTCACCAGTCGGTAGTGGGCCGTTCAGTCCCCATGGGCCTGTGCTTGCTGCCGTTCCTCTCACTTTATCTACCTCTATTCCACTGTGTCAGATAGAATTCAATGTGTTCCTCTCACTTTATCTACCTCTATTCCACTGTGCTCAAATAGAAATCAATGTGTTCCTTTCGCTTTGTCTACCTCTATTCCACTGTGTCAGATAGAATTCAATGTGTTCCTCTCACTTTATCTACCTCTATTCCACTGTGCTCAGATAGAAATCAATTTCATCCAATTTCCCTATGTTTGTGGAGATTTGCTTTTATCCTAATATGTGACCTATTTTGGAGAAGGTTCCATGGACTGCTGAGAAGAATGTGAATCCTTTAGTACTTGGGTGGAAAGTTCTGCAGATGACTATAAAATCCATTTGGTCCATGATGTAATTTAATTTGAATGCTTCTTTGTTGATTTTTTTTTTTTTTTATGGATAGCCTGTTTCTTGTTGAGAATGGGGTATTAAAGTCACCACTGTTACTGTTCAGGGTTAGTCTGTGACTTTATATTTAATAATATTTATGAAATTTGGTACATTTGTGTTTGGAGCATATATGTTTAGAATTCTCTCTCTGTCTCTCTCTGTCTCTCTCTGTCTTCTGTCTCTCTGTCTCTGTCTCTCTCTCTCTCTCTCTCTCTCTCTCTCTCAGCAGGGTTTCTCTGTGTAGACCAGGCTGTCATGGAACTCACTCTGTAGACCAGGCTGGCCTCACACTCACAGAGATCCACCTGCCTCTGCCTCTGGAGTGCTGGGATTTAAAGGTGTGAGCCACCACCGCCATGCCCAGCTTGTTAGGGAAAGTTTTATTTCCCTTCAATGATGACAGATATCTTTGCTGGGTATAGAAGTCTGGGTTGGCAGTTGTCATCTCTGGGACTCTCTAACTTTTGACGTTCCAGTTAACCATCTACTGTTATTCTACTGAGCCTCCTTTATATGTGACTTGGTGTTTCTCTCTTGTCACCTCGATATGCTTTTCATTGTTGTTGCTCAGTGTATTTAGTTAGTATTTTAATTATAAAATGACAAGACAAGAGGAAGTTCTTTCCTGGTCTTGGGGTATTTGAGGTCTGAAATACCTCTTGTATCTTGGTACCTCTGCTCTTAACTCTGGGATATTATCTCTTATGATTCTTTTGAAAATGTTTACTATGCTTTTAGACGAGATTCTTCTTCTATGCCTATTACCCACAGGTTTGGTCTTTTCACTGTTGGAATCCCTACTGATACCCCTAGTTTGATGTTACAGTCCTTCTGCCTTGCCTTCAAGCTCAGATACGCTGTCCTGTCTTGATCCACCACAGCTGACACATTCCACTGTTTTCTGTGTTTTATCTCATCCTATGTTTTCTTCCATCTCCAGCATTTCAGGTTGGGTTTTCTTCAACAGTTCTTTGTTGAATTCCTCTGTCTTTAAAGAATTTCCTTTAACATTTATTTGGGGTTGGGGCATGCACATGCCACTGTGCACCTGTGGAAGAAGTCAGAGGCCCAGGAGTCTGTTGTCCCTTCCGTCATGTGGGCTCCGGGGATCCCACTCAGGAAGTCAGACTTGGCCCCCAGCACAGCTACCCACTGAGCCATCTCACTGGCCCCTGAACTTGGTTTTCTTACCTTGCATCGTTTTTCTTATTTCTCCCAGCTGTTTCCGTTCCATCAGGGGTTTATTTTCTTCTTAATTTTTGTGAACATACTTGAAATCATTATTTGAGTTCTTCGGGATTTCACTTAGCGCTCATTAGATTCCATTACTGTCTAGGTAGTGATTTTGGGGGTGTTGTCC